GCGAGTCAAAGAATGGTCTCTGATTCTGACCGGATACACTTCACAAGGGGCCTTTTTGGCCAAAGATGAGGGTCCCCAACAGAATTAGTCCATCCCGTCATCCTGACCCAGATTTTCGTGCAATCTCGTAACTTACGGGAATGCACGAAAATTCCCGATGGTTATTTTTTGCATTCACCATCCCGAGCATACTGATTCTTTCACGCCTAAATCTTGCCCCCATTTTGCTTTAAAATCCTGCATCTGACTCGCAAAAGAGCTGCAGAGTTAAGAAGCTTAATTCTTGTTTAATACCTTTTCTTATCTGAGGCATCATTACCGGTATCCTGATGCAGGCCTCAAACGTTCCAAACGAGGAGACAAATGAGATGTTGTTTTTTGTTCTCTATTCTAGCATGCGAAAACAGCAGGTCCAGGCAATTTTGCTCGATGATGAAGCACATGTGTTTCACAAGAACAAACTACAAGCTTCTGAGAATAAGCTGTCCAGAAACCTGCGGATATTGCATTAGTAAGAGCTCATTCCCATAGCATAAAGCGTAGTATGATAAACACTAGAAGGAATGTTTGATTTGATATCTAACATATCAAAAAATAAGCAGAAAAGGGGGAAAATCAATCATTTTTAATCTATCACCATTGTGTTTTCACTGAATCAGTGAGTACTCTTTGTCAGTTTAATGGTCCATACTACTCTATAGGAAATCCAGCTTGTCTCAAGCAGTTCAAGCTATCCTGTTCCAGTGGAGTGCGAACTCAGTGTTAGCGCCTTCCCAACAATCTGAACGCCTGGAACAGACCAAGTTTAAGCCAGTAATATGGAGCTTGCTCGTAGGCTAGTCTGGGTCTAATGTGTTGAACTGTGGAAAATAATTTATTTGGTCGGTGAAGGGGATGGACTTGAGTCGAAATTGGTAAGTCACGTGATGTGTCACGGGACCATTTCTCTGAGTGACAAATTGGTGACGGGTTTAAGAAAACAAATCAAAGACATATTTTTCAACACTTCACGTTCGGAATGAATGTCCACTGCACTTCGTGAAAAACGGCAAACATGTCACTTAAATGCCCAAATTTAATTTTAAATTAGTCAAAACTTTAATTTAAATCTTCGAATGCATTCATTCCAAACGTAGAAAGTAATTCACCTCTAATTTCCTTCATTTTGAATTTTTGACCTCGTGACACGTCACGTGACCATAATTATACGTAAAGGTACTGAAGAGGACCTCATGATTTACATTCTGATTTGGGGGAATTTTCATCTTAGTCTACGCATCTTAGCATCAAATATTGATAATAAATCGTATTTTCCAAAAAATATCTAATTTGACCGCCCTACAAGGCTTTAAACCCTTGAGAAAGCTAAAAAGTTATTGCAATTAGGGTCGTATTTTCAAACTCACTTTCCAGAAGCGAATTTCTGTTTGCTCTTACGCATAAACTATCAAAATATATTTGAGAATAAATGCACCGGAAAGTTGGTGATTAACCAGGTATTTAGGATGGCGATCTAGCATCTCTGCTTAATAACCCCATATTTTTAGAAATCCAAAATACTTGGCAAAACACTTGAAGGCTCTACTATGCAATGTCTCTCATAATTTCTGCGAACTAGATTGCCTTTTCTCATCGCCAAAACGATCGCCGTCCTACGTTGGATTTTCGTCTATTTTGGAAATAATCATTTCGTCTACCTTTCAAGTAGACGTTTATTATTTGTTTTCTTTCTCAGAAGCCCAACATCCTTGTCAAGGCGACTCGGGACAAGAAATTTCTTGCCAAAGTGAGTAACGGCTTAACTCACCTATCATACTTTGGGCACTGCAGTTTACTTTCTTCTACTTAGAGCCTGTAAAAGTTGTAAAGTCAGTTTAAGTAAATGTTTTAACGAGTTTACTAAGAATTGGATTTAGTATATCAAGCAGGTGATTATCTTTCGTCATAAATGGTAGTCGATTAAACAAAAAAGGAGGAAGTTAGCAGACTTACAGCTGGACGGTTTGTTTTGAGTTATGGTTAACAGCTATATGTAAGAGTCATTGTATGTCATTTTGATACTTTTTATACTTGCTGCTTTGTTTCTGGTGCTGGTTAGTTATGTTAGTTTGTGTTTTGTTTACCTGTCAGATGACTGCTATGATGTTGACCCTAAAGAGCTTTGTAAACGTCGTAAGAGGACCGGTTACTGTTCTTTAAAGGCATGGGAGGACTACCTCATGAAACGTTGCGCGCGCACTTGTGGCTTCTGTGGTGAGGCAAATTAGTCAGTTTTAAAATCTCTCTACATAAATAAGCTTATTCACCTTGCAGGATAAGAATTGTTCTCACGAAATAGCCATGCAATCCACCATATGTGCGTTATTGACCACGAGAACTTGGTCAATAACGGGATTATTTCATAGCCATAACAATATCTTTTAATTTCTTGGGAGACAATTAAAGCGGGTAATCTCAAGACCCATCTTGCCGCTTGGGCTGTCAATCAGACTTCCCCTCATTTTGCCCGCTCAAGGAGCCAGCCATATAATAAGATAATTATGTAACTATTACGGTGAAACTCACAAAACCGTGAACACCAGAAATATTTATGGAACGTTATTGTGTTTTTAATGAAGAGAGTATAATCCCTCTGGTGCCTTTTCAAATCAACGAATAGAAATTTACCCACTATACTAGCTAAAAGATACAAACTAGAGTTTTACGGT